TTAAGACCCCAGACACTACTCACCAAGGTAGAATGTAGAGCATTGTCTTTATAAGCTGTGTCATGCCAATTGAGCTAGATGTTCCCCGAGACCATGGTCCGCACAGCCCTCCGCCCAGCAATTCAGTCCCTCAGGGAGTTTGGATGTGTCTGTGGGGCTTCCATGACCTGACAGGACATATTTTTATTGATCACCTATGAGATTCCATTGTCCTTATTCATTGTCTGACTTTCACATCATATGAGGTGATTGAAAATACCATGGCTTGGGTCAGGCGCACCTTAGTCTTCAAAGTGATATCTTTGCTTTTTAACACTCTAAAGGGGTCTTTTGCAGTAGATCTGCCCAGTGCAATCCATCGTTTGGTTTCCTGACTGCTGCTTCCATGGGTGTTGTTTGTGAATCCAAATAAAACGCAATCCTTAACAACTTCAGTCTTTTCCCCGTTTATCATGATGTAGCTTATTGATCCAGTTGTGAGGATTTATGTTTTCTTTATGTTGAGGTGTAATCCATATTGAAGGCTGTGGTCTTTGATCTTCTTCAGTAAGTGCTTCCAGTCCTTTTCACTTTCAGCAGGCAAGATTGTGTCATCTGCATATCGCAGGTTGTTAATGAGTCTTCCTCCAGTCCAGATGTCCCGTTCTTCATATAGTCCAGCTTCTCAGATTATTTGCTCAGCATATAGATTGAATAAGTATGGTGAAAGGATACAGCCCTGACACACACCTTTCCTTAAACCATGCAGTATCCCTTTATTCTATTCAAAGGACTACCTTTTGATCTATGTACGGGTTCCGCGTGAGCACAGTTAAGTGTTCTGGAATTCCCATTCTGAGCAATGTTGTCCGTAAATTGTTATGAATAAGGAAGACTGAAGAAGAATTCTGTCTTGAAGTACAGCTAGGATGCTCCTTAGAAGCAAGGATGACGAGACTTCGTTTCACATACTTTGGAGATGTTATCAGGAGGGACCGGTCCCTGGAGAAGGACATCATGCTTGGTAAAGTAGAGGGTCAGGGGAAAAAGGAAGAGATGGATTGACACAGTGGCCACAACAGTGGGCTCAAGCATAACAACGAATGTGAGCATGGCACAGGATGGGGCAGTGTTCCATTCTGTTGTACACGGGGTCGCTGTGAGTCGGAACCGACTCGCCCACACCTGACGTGAACTGCCAGGTGCTGTTTTAAGCACTCGAACACGCAGGAACCCAGTCCACGGTTTCTCAGCCTCGGCAGTATTGACATTTGGGGCCAGGTCGTTCTTCATGGTGGGGCTGTCCTCTGCAGCGTACAGTGTCAAGCAGCATCCCTGGCCTATGCATGTACACACTGGACGCCAGCGGCGTCCCCTCACAGCTGGGACAGCCACAGATGTCTTCAGACATTGCCACACATCCCCTGGCGAGTGAAATTGTCCCGGCTGAGAACCACTGAAGCTCATTGTCCACGGAGGGTACATGGGTATGGATGAGTGTCCTAGAAGAGACAAAGTGAGTTAAGGAGCTGGAAGTGGGGAGAGAGGGGTCAGGAGAACTTCAGAGGCGGTGTGGCCCGAGGCCGGCAGCCGGAGTGGGAGCAGGCCCAGAGGAGGGATCGTGCTGCAGAAACAGCAGAAATGCCAGGGAGGCCGGAGCCGAGAGAATGGGTGCCGAGCGAGAACTCTGGGGCTCCCACAGGCTCCCCATAGCTGCTGTCTGTCTCATCAACTCCAGGGGATGGGGTGGAAGCAGGGACACCCAGAGGGGCGACTGCACTGGTGCCGTACGATGGTGGCTCAGGCCAGGGGGTGTGTGAGAAGTAGCCAGGTCCAGGCAGTAGTGAGGTGCAGGTGCGTAGCTGGCCAGACCCGGCAGGCAAGGATCTCTGCGGATTCCTGTAGCCTAGAGGATGGTGTCTGGCTGTGTTGGGAGGGGGAGCAGCTCCGATTTGAAGCTGGGGCCCAGCCCTACAGGGCCTTGTAGCTGTGATGTGAGGAGCTGGGATCATCTCCCGAGAGCGCTTGGGGAGCCGTGGTAGGTTCTGGGCAGGGGAGGGACAGGGTCACGTTCGCTCTGTGTGAGGTGGCTTGGAGGGGGAGAGACTGGGAGATGGAGGGGAGGGATGGCTGGAAAGACCTTTGAGCCTGGGGGCGGGGGGTCCCAACAGTTGCCAGCACTGAGAGATCAGAGACCCTGAGTAGAAATCCCTGTCATCTTGTGTGACTTTAAACAGCTGCTTTTCCTTCAGTGATCCTCAGTTTCCCCCTCAACTGAAGGCATGGGGTGATGCTGACCATTGGCATGGGCATCGGGGGCTGATTTCTATCATTTACTCCTTGGAGGCACAGTTGGCTTTCAGGAGCCCGTAGGGACCAGCTCCAGCCCCCCACTGTGCATGCCACTCAAGGGGACAACGCCAGCAACCTCGCTGAGAGCCCTCCGCCTCCCTCTGTCCCACCTGGCCCATCTTGGGGGCTGCCTGCCAGTGTGGGAGGCCCCTGTTCTTGACCACAATCCCTGGCACCTCAGAGAGCCGGGAGCCCTGCAGGCAGCCCCACTCCCTAGGGTCAGGCCCTCAGCCTGTGTTTCTGGCTTTGTCTGGGGAGCATCTTCTCACCGCTGTGTGCTTCACGCCCTTGGTTCCCTCCTGTGCCCTGACTCCCCGTGTCCCTGGGCGGCGATCTCTAAGCCTTGTGTCTGCTCAGTCTCGGTGTTGTTTCTCCACTGGGGAGTCTTAAACGTGCTTCTTCTTCCATCTCTTTTTCTGACTGTGTTTTCTTCTCTGTCTGTCTGTCTGTCTGCATGTCCATATGTATGTATGTATGTATAGGGTTGCTGTGAGTCAGAACAATATATGTGTCTTTCCCAGTTCTCTGCTCCTCCTTCTTCCTTCTCTAAAACCACATGTGTGGGGTCCACTCACTCTCTTCAGCTCCAGAGACAGAAGCGAATCCATCTTGGGCCTGAGGCCTGGGGTTCAAGGAGCTCAGCCCCGTGGTGGCACACACCAGCCTTAGAACTGTCCCTGCTGGAGGGGCAGGGAGCCCAGACGTGGTCCTCAGAGGAGCGGGTGATCGCAGCAGCCAGGCCCAGCCTTTACACCGGGCTCCATCCCTCGTTCTGTCTGCGTCACCCCACAGAGGTCATCCTGTGGACGCCAGCCACACGGGACGTGGATAGTACCCCATGGTCACTCCACTGCCAAGCGGTCCAACCCCAGGATGTTCTCTTAATGACCCTGCTGTCCTGCCTCTCAGTGGCAGAGTGGTTCAGAGCCTGAGATGGGGGAAGGTTAGAGGCCTGGCGTCTGCCCTTGATACGCAGTGTGACCCCAGGAGGGTGACCTTGCTCCCCTCAGCTGCTGTGACCTTCTCTGTACATGGTATCCAGTGAGTGCTGGCCTCACAGGGCTGTGCAGACCAATGAGGTCCCACAGGTCACGTGGGGACTCCTCGGTCGTGGGCCAGGAGTGAGGAGCAGACATGGCCTGAGCCTGCCAGCATGGGCAAGCCCGGAAGGCTTCCTGGAGAGGGAGGAGGGAGGGCACCCATCCCAGACCCCTGGCTGAGTGGAAACTGACCACCAAACCAGAATAAACCTCCCATCCATCTCCTACAGGAATCCTCGTGGCCCACTACCTCCAGAGCATCACGCCGTGTTTGGCGCTGGGCGGAGAGCTGGTCTACCACCGGCGGCCAGGGGAGGAGGGCACTGTCATGTCTCTAGCTGGGAAATACACGTGTGAGCCTGGGGTCTGCGGGTAGGAGTTGGGGGTGGACTCCTGGGTCTGAGGGAGGAGAGGGCTCGGGGCTTGGACACCTAGGTCTGAGGAAGTTGCGGGCCTGGACTCCTGGGTCTGAGGGAGGAGGTATCCCCCAGGTCCCCTTGGTAATCTGTCCCCTCGTCTCCCCAACTCTCTCTCAGTGAACAACTGGTTAGCGACAGTAACACTGGGCCAGGCTGGCATGCACGCGACGTACTACCACAAAGCCAGTGAGCAGGTGAGCTGCTCGGGGACCAGCTGTGCACGTGGTGCGTGCAGCTTGGATCGCCAGGGGCTGGTGTGTCTGGGGGTCCCCCTGCTGGGACGTTAACTCTGTGTTCCCGGCCCCTCCAGTTGCAAGTGGGTGTGGAGTTTGAGGCCAGCACAAGGATGCAGGACACGAGTGTCTCCTTCGGGTACCAGCTGGACCTGCCCAAGGCCAACCTCCTCTTCAAAGGTGCAGACTTCAGTTTCCCTGCGTGGAAAACAGCTGTGACTCAGCTCTGAGTGGGCGTGGAGACCAAAGGAGCTGACACAGGACAGTGTTCAGGGACTTCTGTGAGCCTCCAAATTATCCAGGAAGGCTCATCAAGAGTGGCCGCGCCTGGGCCCCACCCTGGGGCATCAGGTGGATGTGTCTGGGCTGGGTGTGGGCCGAGCAGCTGCTACGCAGTCCCATCCCACCCTGACCAGGCCGCTGGCACCCACTCTGCGTGCGGCCCTCCCCCAACTCATCTCACATTAGAGAAAACTGAGGCTCCCAGGGTTCCATGGTCACAGCCAGATGCAGAAGAACCTCAGCCCAGGCTGACCGACTTAGTCCTGGTCTCTGGTCTCCAGTCCCCGTGCCTCTCAGATTGTGCCCATGGGAAAACCCCCTGGTCAGGCCCACTCAGGCAGCCTGGGTTGGGGCTCCAGGAGGCCGTGGTGAGGCCCAGAGATGCGTTTGCTCTGGAACCTACCTTCCCTGCCTGCTTCTCAACCCCTCCCTCTAGAACCAGCCAGGTTCCCGCTCTGTTGCCTCCCTGCCCGTGTTGAGTGAGCTGTAATCCCTGCCTCCTGGGTGGCAGGGACAGTTGCACACAGTGTGTGTGCATCCAAAGGTTCTGTGCGTGTCCCCAGAAGAAATTCTAGTCATCTATTCAACAGATACTCTGAGCACCAACGCTGTGCTTGGCCCTGTGTTGGGCAGTGCCGGGGACACAGCGGTGACCAGGCCTTGTCCTTACAGGGCTCACTGTGGGGGAATAGACCCATCCCCAGAGAGTGACAGTCCACTGTGGGCAGGGCTGGGACAGGGGAGAGGCGTGGGGGAGTGTCACTGAGGTGGAAGAGGGGTGAGGCAGTTGCAACCAGGGGTGTAGGATACTTGGGGTGCGTTAGAGTTTCCGGGTGGCTGGCACTGCATGGTCAGCAGTCAGCCTGGCTGGTGTCCGAGGTGGCGTGAAGCTTGACTGCACGGGAACAGGTGGGGACCCTGCACACCTCTCACCCCAGCGCTCTGCCCACAGGCTCCGTGGACAGCAACTGGATTGTGGGTGCCACATTGGAGAAGAAGCTCCCGCCACTGCCCCTGACCCTGGCTCTTGGGGCCTTCCTGAACCACCGCAAAAACAAGTTCCAGTGTGGCTTTGGCCTCACCATCGGCTGAGCCCCACCTGGGCCCACCTTCCAGCCCTTCCTCCTTCAGACCCCACCTCCCCTCCCCCAGCCATGGAGGGGAGACTCGAGCCCTGCCTCTTCCTCCCTTCCCTGCCTCCTTGGGGGCCAAGGGGCAGCAGAAAGGAGGGGACCCATAACCCCAGCAGCTGAGGAGGGAATTGTCGAACCAAGGGGCGCTTCAGGACTCTGAGCACGAGGGCCGCCCAGTGGGCCTTGGGGTCCTGGAAGGGATTCTGGAATCAAGGGGCACTCGGGATTCTGAGTACCAGGGGCAGAGGTGGCCGGACCAGACGACCTCAGGGAGGAGGTTGGGGTGTCCCCATTCCCCAGAGGGCCCAGGGCTCGGCCCCCCTCATGGGGCAGCAAGAGGAGGAGCTTCCCCATCCCCCCGGTCAGCCTGCCCATCCCTTTTCCCACCCACCCCTCGGTATAAATCATGTTTATAAGTTATGGAAGAACCGGGACATTTTACAGAAAAAAAAAGAAAAAACAACAAAAAATACACATGGAAAAAAGTGAGACGGGGCCCCTCTGTTTTCCTAGGTCTGTGTCTCCGGTCCCCACGGCCGCCTTTGTTCCTTGCCTCCCTTGATTCCTCCCCGCGGCCGCCTTTCCCATGACGTGCCAGTAGAGGGGGCCTTAGGAGAACCAGGGCTGCAAGGTCACCAGCCTGTTGGGGATTCATACTTGGCAGCTGCCTTTGTCAACCCACCTCCAAGGGGAAGTGCTGGCCCGAGATCACACAGGCTCCCCGTGACTCCCACCCGCACGCCTTCCCTCACAGGAGGCCGCATCTCAAGGTCACTCACCCCGGCTTGGCCAGGCCAGAGTGTCTTGAGAGGACTTTGCCCCTGCTTACCCAAGCAATAGGGGTGAAGATGTTGCTGCGTTTGGGTGGGGGCAGGGAGTTGCAAGCCCAGAGTTGCCCCCCAGATTCCAAAAGGTGATGGGTGTGATGGGATGTGACAACTTTGTTCTGATAGGAAGGTAGAGCTTTCAGAAGCTTCACAAAAGATTCAAGTGATTGGAAAAGCTCGAGAATTACTAAGAACTGCTGCTGAGGGGAGAGGGCTTGGGAGGGGAGGGGGCTCAGGCTCCTGGGTCTTGATAGAGCAGTGGCTGGTGGGTCACCTGTGTCTCAGCATCTAAAGCTGGGGAGGGAGGAGCCCAGGGTTTTGGCCAACTTGACCTTAGGTGAACTGCAGACACTGCTCTGCACCTCTCTCCAGACAGGAACTGAAACCCTTTCTTGTCTCTCCTCAGCAGTCTGGGAGAGGGAGGCTGCTGGGCAGAAGGACCCCTAGTTACCCCGCCAAGCCACCTCACCTTCCTGCGAGTGCCCTCTGAGGCCAAAGCAGGCAGTCCCGGGCCTGGCTTAGCGTTGGGGCTCCATGCTAGGGACCAGATATTCGGCCTCTTCTGACCCCAAAGAATCCAGTGTCCCCACCCCTTCACGGAACCAGGAATGAATCCCAACTCCAATTCTTCCTGTGCAGCTTTGCCATTTGCCTCAGTTCCTAACCTCAGGTGTCTCTGTCAGACAGCCAGGATTGATGTAACTAGAATGCCACCGTTTGCTCACTGGGGCAGGCCACAGCAGTTAGCCCTAATGTAGCACCTACTGTGAACCAAGGACCGTTCTCAGTACTTTTTATATATGTTAGCTTCTTGCATCTCCAAACTGGTGTAGGCACTGTTATTTTCCTGGTTTTATAGATGAAGAAATGCTCAGAGAGGCTAGGTCATTTGCCCAAGGCCACACAGCTGGCAACTGGCAGAGCCAGGCTCCGAGACCAGGCTGTTTGGTTCCAGAGTCCACAGTGCTAACTGAGCAACTCTGCTTTTCAAAGCCCTGTGAAAGGCACAATCCCTGGGCAGCTCTTGGTCCACAACACCTGTGCTGGAGGGAAGTGCTGGGTCCTCATTTCCCAAATGGGGAAAGTGACAGAGAGGGGCTCGCCAGTGCCCAAGGTCACGGCCAAAGTGGTGGAACCACGACTCAGCTTAGTTTCCTGCTCCAAGCCTAGGCTTTAGCAGCTGTGTTACGATGTCCCCGCCCTTCCCATCCCATTTCTGTCTGGGCCCCTAGCCTCCTCCCTCAGACCCTGGACTCCAGAACTCCAAACCTTCAGACCAGGAGTCCAGGCCCCCAGCGCCGTCCTTCCTCAGACCTGGGCATCCAGAATTCCAGCCCCCTCCTCTCTCTAGGTCCAGCCCCCTCGCAGTGTGATGGATCGCTTTTATGTGGCCTTTCTTGCCGTGGTCTTGTAACTCCCACCAAATGGCTGGGTCGGACTATGGAAATAAGGTGCTTGTGGCCCACCAAGGGGATTGGACAGCTTGCTAATGATGCAAGTAAGGTGCACGGCACCCTTGTGGGACCATGCAAATAAAGTGTATGGAACCCTAACAAAAGGATTGGTCAGTTTTGCCATCCTGCTAGGCTTAAAAGAGCCATCCCAGAGTCGGAAAGGGGGGGACCTCACTACCACCAAGGAAGAAGAGCCAGGAGTGGAGTGCGTCCTTTGGGCCCGAGGTCCCCGCACTGAGAACCTCCGAGACCCAGGAGACAGACAACCCTGACTCCGGATACAGTGCGAGACAGCGAGAAGCAGCAGCAGGGAAACGGCAGCAGCAGAACCAGGAGACTGGCACAAGATGGCGCAGTGGGCTTCCCGACCCGTGCATCTAGGCGGCTTCAGTGAGTACGCCGACCCGGGGCGTGAGAGCTGATCGCCTTCAGGCAGGAGGCTTACTGGCAGAGTGGGGCGCCTCTGGGCACTTGTTGGGAGAGCTAAAGAACTTTGTGACACTTGCACGAGCAGGGCACAGGCCAGGCCCAGGGGCTGAGGGAGACGCCTGCCTACCGCTGTCCTGACTGAAGAACTGTATCCCGAGTCATTCCTGATCCTGACTTGTAACCTGTACTTCCCTAATAAACCATAATCGTGAGTATGGTCTGTTAGTTGTGTGGCTATTACAATGAATTATTGAACCAAGCAGAGAAACAGTGCCTGGGAGGGACGGCTGGTGTCAGAATCGGTGAAAAGATTGGAGGGTGGAGGTATGTCTGACCTCTACCTCAAGGAATCATCCTCGTGCTGTTGATCTTGATTCTCTTCCTACTTCGTGAAGTTAGAGGAGGTGAGACACCTCCGCCATGCCATTTTTACACCCCTCCTCCCTCAGACCCAGAACTCTAGCCCCCTCCTCTCTCTGGGCCCAAGCGTCTACTAAGCCCTCTCCTCTCTCTGGGTCCAAAAGTCTAAGTCCCCAGCCCCCTCCTCCCTCAGACCTAGGAATTCAAACCTTAGTCCCCTCTCTCAGACCAAAAGATCCAGCACCCTAGACACCTCCCTCCCTCACACCCAAGAGTTTGGGCCCCCAACTCCCTCAGACCCGGGAGTCCAGACCCCCAACTCCCTCAGACCGAGGAGCCTGGGCCCCCAGCCCTCTCTTCCCTCAGACCCGGGAGTCTAGACCCCCAGCCCCTCCTCCCTCAGACCCAGAAGTCCAAGGCCCCCAGCCCCCTGCTCCCTCAGACCCAGGAGTCCAAGGCCCCAGCCCCTGCTCCCCCAGAAACTTGAAGTCCAAGCTCCACCAGCCTCCACCCCAAATTTTATTCATCCACACAGTAGGGGTAAGGGGTAGGGGTAATGGGTGCTCCAAGGCCTGCCTGGTCCCCTTTTGTGCCCAGCACCCTAGAATAGAGGAGGGCACCAGGGTTCCTGGGTGAGGTGTCACCTCTCTTCCTGGGTGCTGAGGGGGCACAGGCCACAGGGCCTACAAGCCCCACCTCCTTCTTCCGCCCTGTGGGGGGCGGGAGGGAGAGATACAGCCCACCTCGTGACTAGAGGCGGGCCTAGCCCGGCCTGGCCCTTGGGGAGGGGGCGGGGCAGGGGGAGCCCTATAATTGAACGAGTCCCGGATCCCGGAGTTCTACTCAGCCTGAGCGGAGGCGAAGGACGATCCTTCCTGGGAGCCGGTAAGATGCAGGGTCCGGGGCAGTGGGACTACCAGCCCAGGGGTGTCTGGGGCAGTGTGTCGGTGCCCCCAGCTAAGGGACCTCTGGGAGGGTGTGTCTTGGGACCCCGGGAACTCTGGCCTCCAGGGAAAAAAGAGTCTGGGGCAGGGAGGGAATGAAGAAAGCTCTAGAGAGTTGGTGGAGACGGACTGGGGGAGAGAAGGCGACTGTCCTATGCCTGGGTCAGGACGAAAGCGGAAGGCGGGGGTGAGGCCTGGGGCAGGGGACTGGATCCAGTGGAGGGCTGAGGTCCCCCATCTCGGCTGAGGAGGGGGCCAGAGAAAGCAGTTGGACCTGTAGGCAGAACCAGAAAACAAGCCATAGGCACATCCCAGGAATTGTCACTGTCATTTATTGAGCACCTACTGTGTGCTCCATCCTCCTTAATTGGTGGCGTAGGGGCAGCAGCGCGGCGGGGGATGAGGGGGGCAGGGTGGCTAGATCCTCGACTTGAGGGAGGATTTTAAAATGAGGATTCCATGAATTAACACGTGGAAGACAGCGCGTAGATGTGAAGTTGGAGATTTGAATGTGAAGGCAGAATGAGGACTGAAGTGGGAATTTAGGAAGCCCGGTTGGAACTGGAATGGCACCCGTCACGGGGGGTGGGGGATGGGTGGGTGGGGAGTGGAATTTGAACCCTGGAAGAGGGAGATGGAATTTGGCGACTGAAGCCCACCTGGGATTGGGGAGATAGGAGAAGAGAATGAAGGACTTAACAAGACAATGGAGAGGCCACTAGGTATGTGTTTGTGATTGGTTTAGGCTGTGGCCCATCTGGCCTGGGGTGGGGCAGGGCTCTGGGACTGAGCTGTCGATGGACATCTCTCTCCTTTCGCAGACGGACCAATCGCTGCCCGGAAGATGAAGGTTCTGTGGGCTGTGTTGGTGGTTTCCCTCCTGGCAGGTATGGGGGCGGGGCTTGCTCAGGTTCCCTGATCACTCCCACTTCCACATTTACCCCTTGCCGGATCTGGTCCTGGGCCCCTTGTTCTGTGAGTCTGTCTTCCCGTGGAGGACAGGCCCAGGTCTGAGCACCTGTTTTCATCTCTCTGGGCCTCGGTTTCCCCTATCCTTAAAACGGGACCTCTCTCTAAGAGTTTCTACTACCTAGGGTTGTCTGGACGACTTAATACAGTGAAACCTGTGAGAGCCGGAACTCGACAGGACTGCCTTGTTTGCCCAGATCTCCAAAGTTTTCCACCTTTGACAGAATGCAGCTTACCACTGTTCTATCGCTATTAGTGGAAAATATTTGAGTTTTCCTTTTCTGCAGGTTTCCGCCTTACACAGGTTCCAGCTTTCGCAGGTTTTACTGTATATACATGAAGCGCTTAGCAGGTAGGCAGCGCTAGATATGCACCAGTCAGAGATGATGATTCTTAGCCTCCATCCCCCCAGTGTGGCCCTACATGGGGCACACAGTCAGTAAATGCTCGCCCAGTGATTAAACAGACAGGGTGTTCCTCTACCCCCTCCCTGTCCACCATTGCTCCAAAGAGGCCCATGAGCATTTGTGAAGCACCTACTGCATACCAAGTACTGGGTACCCTGAGGGGCAGAAGGGCCCTAACCAGTCGGGAACTTGCTCCGTGCAGGATGCCAGGCCGACGTGGAGGTGGAGCTGGAGCCCGAGATGCTGTTTGCTCATGAGCGGGCCGGGGAGCAGGGCAGCCAGCCCTGGGAGCTGGCACTGGGTCGCTTCTGGGACTACCTGCGCTGGGTGCAGACACTGTCTGAGGAGGTTCAGGAGGAGCTGCGCAGTGCCCAGATCATCCAGGAGCTGACGTGAGTACCCTACCCCAGCCCCTGACCCTCCCGGCTGTGGCTCCCTCCAGACTCAGCTTCTGCGGGTCTGGATTTCTCTCCCTCCCCATCACTAACTCTTGGGGGTCTGGGTCTCTCCGTTTTTGCTTTCTGTCTCCATTTCCAACTCTTTTTCTTGACCATTCTCTGATGAGCTTTCTGATCTCCTAAGGAGGCCCTGGAAACCCTGGTGCCGTAGTGGTTAAGAGCTACGGCTGCTAACCAAAAGGTTGGCAGTTTGAATCCACCAGGTGCTCCTTGGAAACCCTGTGGGGCAGTTTTGCTACGTCCTGTAGGGTGGCAATGAGTTGGAATAGACTCCACGGGAGTGGGTTTGGTTTTTTAAGGAGGCCCTTGGTGGCCCACACAGTTAAGTGCTGAACTACTAGCTGAAAGGTTGGCAGTTCAAACCCACCCAGGGGAGCTGAGAAGAAAGGCTTGGCGACCTGCGCATGAAAGGTCACAGCCTTAAAAACCCTACGGACCAGTTCTACTGTGTAACACACGGGGTCGCCATGAGTTGGAAACGAGTCCAGGGCAACTAACAACACACTTCATTATTCTGTCTCTGTCCTTCCTTTACTCTCCTTCCGAGCCCCTTCTTAGTGTCTATCTCTCCACTCTCTGTCTCCTCTCCCTCTTTTGGGTCTGTGCTCCATAACTGTCTTGCGTTTCCCCCTATTTCTCTCCACACACTTTCGCCTGTCCCTCTCATCCTCTGCTGCCCCTTGGCCCGCAGGGTGCTGATGGAGAAGACCATGAATGAAGTGTCTGCCTACAAACAAGAGCTGGATGCCCAGCTGGGCCCGGTGGCAGAGGAGACGAAGGCACGCTTGTCCAAGGAGCTGCAGGCAGCGCAGGCGCGGCTGGGCGCCGACATGCAGGACGTGCGCAACCGCCTGGCGCAGTACCGCAGCGAGCTGGAGGCCGTGCTGGGCCGGAACACCGAGGAGCTGCGCACGCGCTTCACCTTGCATCTGCACAAGCTGCGCAAGCGGCTGCTGCGGGACGCTGAGGACCTGCAGAAGCGCCTGGCTGTGTATCGCGCCGGGGCCCGCGAGGGCGCCGAGCGTGGTGTGGGTGCTATCCGTGAGCGCGTGGTGCCACTGCTGGAGCGGGGCCGCGCGCGGTTTGCCACCATGGGCCCCCTGGTCGGCCAGCCGCTGCAGGATCGCGCCGAGGCCTGGGGCCAGCGGCTGCGCGGGCGGCTAGAGGAGGTGGGCGGCCGGGCCCGCGACCACCTGGAGGAGGTGCGCGAGCAGCTGGAGGAGGTGCGCGGCAAGGTGGAAGAGCAGGCCACCCAGATACGCCTGCAGGCCGAGGCCTTCCAGGCCCGCCTCAAGAGCTGGTTCAAGCCCCTGGTGGAAGATATGCAGCGCCAGTGGGCTGGCCTGGTGGAGAAGGTGCAGGCGGCAGTGGGCACCAACACCACCCCTGTGTCCAGTGAGAATCACTGAGCTCCCAGGCATGCTGCCTGGCAGGCACCACTCCTGTCCTGTGCCCCCTGCCTCCCTGCCTCCAGCAGGAGGCCCTGCTCCCGCCCCAGCTATCCTGGAGGGCCTGAGCTTAATAAAGATCCACTGAGCTTCACAGCAGCTGCTGAGCATCTGTGTGTGGTTTCTCACAGCTTGTGCCTCAGTTTCTCTTTCCTTACCCACACTGGCCACATGATTTCCCATCCTGCCCCGTCTGCCTGACTCCATGTGTGATCGTGTGTGTGTGTGTGTGTGTTTCTTTGTCTCCACTTCTCTCTTTAACCCTCCCTGCCTTTGCTTTTCTCTGTCCCTTTCTGATGGCTACCTGGGTGGCACAAATGGTTTGCCCTGGACCCTAACTTAAAGGTTGGTAGTTTCAACCCACCCAGAGGTGCCAGGGGAGAAAGGCCTGGTGATTTGCTTCCATAAAGATTACAGCCAAGAAAACCCTACTCCGTAACATGTGAGGTCACCATGGGTCAGAATCTACTCCATGGCAACTGGTTTGGTTTGGTCTTTCTGAGTCTTCTGCTTTCTTTTTGTTGCCGCTTCTCTCTGCCTCTCACTTTCTCTTTTTTTATTTTGGTTTTAAAACTGTTTTACTGTGGTGAAATACAACAAAACATTTGCCATTTCAACCATTTTTTTGTGCACAGCTCATCATTTTCTCTTGTTTCTGCCTCTCTTTCCATTCTGTCTCTGTATCCAAGAGTTCTGGAACAATTACCTGTTCCGAAACCCCCACTGAGTCAATTCCAACTCATAGCAACCCTGTAGGACAGAGTAGAACTGCCCCATACGGTTTCCAAGGAGCGCAGCTGGTGGATTCGAACTGCCGACCTTTTGGTTAGCGGCAGTAAACTCAACGCCCTCGGTTAAATCCTGCTGTTGCCCTTGACTCCCCCGTGTGATCTTGAGGAAAAAAAAAAATTTCTCTGAGCCTCAGTTTCCCCATGCTTATAACATCTGCTACATTAAGCTGTGACTCCACACGACCCGTGACTAATGCCGTTATTATTATCATTATTTTTATCCACTCAGGATTCTTCCGTCTCTCCAGTCGTATCCGATTCTGCCTCCCTCCCTCTCCTGGCCAAGTCTGTCCTGCTGCCCCTGAGAAGCTTCATTTCCCAGCTTCCTGTTTTCCTCCGCTGCTACCTTTTATCTCTGCCTCCTACCGTTTCTCTGGCTCCAGGGGCCCTGCTTGTTTCGTTTCCCCCTCCCTTTTTAATCTGGTTTTGTCTTCCCCCATCACTTTTTTAATTGTGGTAAATATATATGTAGCAAAACACCATTTCAACACTCTTCACACGTACAGTTCAGTGGCAAGAATTATGTTCATCATATTGTTCAACCACCACTCTTACCTGGTCCCTTAAAAGCTCAGGGTCTCCTGAGTACGGAGTCCACCTCTCGGCTTTTCTCCTTCGCTCTCAGCAAGCCCTTTCCTTCACTCTTTCCTGAGTCTCTGTTTCTGCTTCCCTCTGCCTCTCACTTTCTCTCATTCACTTTCTTTTTTTGTGCTTTAAAAAAAGGTGATATATACATAACAAAACATTTGCTATTTCAACCATTTTTACACATACAATTTTTCACTTAATCTTGTCTCTGCTTCTCCTTCCATTCTGTCTCTTGCCTTCATGTGTCTGGGCTGTCCTGCCCTGCCCCTAGCTCCTCTTTTCTGCTCTCTTCCAGCCCTGTTGTCTACCTCTTTTTTTCTCCCAATGAGCCTATTGGGTGCTGGGTGCAGGCTGGGTGGGGCGGGAGGAGAAGGGAGAGGCCTCCTACCGCACCCCGTGAGGGTCCCTGCCAGGCCCTGTGGAGGTTGGGGCTGGGTGGGAGGTGGGAATTGGCCCTGCTGAGAGGTGAGAGAGCCTTGGGCACTTTCCTCCTCTCCTACCCCCTCAGCTCTCAGAGGAGGGGAGCCTGGCTCTCACCACAGGGGACGGGGCCGAGGCCTGCGCTTGTCCCCTGCCCTGTGCCCACTTTGGCTCCTCCCGCACACTCCCAAGGGCACAGTCTCTCTGGCGCTGCCCTGAGCACCCCATGGAGGAGGGGTCCTGTCGCAGGGACATGATTCACCCGGGGCCCAGTGAGAAGGGGAAAAGTCAGGGGGTCAGAAGCAGGGGGCTGGGGCTGCCACTGACTCACTGTGTGCCTGGCGCTGGGGCCTCACCTTCTCAGAGCCCGTTTTCCTCAGATGTCCGCGTTCCGCCTTGAAGAGCTGAATCCGTGAATTCTGGTGTCTATCTAGGGTCCCTCAGAGATTCCACGAATTCCAAGCTTTATCCTCTCAGAGCCTGTTTTCCCCAGATATCCATGTTTCCCCTTGAAGAGCTGAATCTGTGAATTCTGGTGTCTATCTAGGGTCCCTCAGAGATTCCATGAATTCCAAGCTTTATCCTCTCAGAGCCTGTTTTCCTCAGATGTCCATGTTCCCCCTTGAAGAGTTGAATCGTGAATTCTCATGTCTATCTAGGGTCCCTCAGAGATTCATGAATTCCAGGCCTCATCTTCTCAGAGCCTGTTTTCCTCAGATGTCCATGTTCCCCCTTGAAGAACTGAATCATGACTTCTCATGTCTATCTAGGGTCCCTCAGAGATTCCATGAATTTCTGAGCCAGGAAGACATCTAAGCAGAGAGAGAGGGTGCCCTACCTCACCAAAGCCCCATCAGGCCAAGAGAGTGGAGCAAGGGGCTGGGAAAGGTAGTTTCTGGAACAGAGGCCGGCAATGGGTGCTGGGGGTTAGGGGCTGACCCCAGCAGGGATTCGGGGGCTGAAGGGAAACAGCCTGGAGTTTGGCAATGGGGGGAGGGACAAAGAGCCCCTCCCTCATAGCTCTTCAGTGACCCATTGGATGTACTTGACTGTTGCTCAGTTTCCTCATCTGTAAAACGGAAACACTTATAGATGAGAAGGAGTCCCTGGGTGGTGCAAATTGTTAAGTGCTCGGCTACTAGCCAAAAGGTTGGTAGTGTGAAACCACTTAAAGGCGCCTCAGAAGATAGGTTTGGCGATCTGCTTCCAAAAGGTCACAAGCTTGAAGACCCTATGGAGCAGTCTTACTCTGCACATGGGGTCACTGTGAGTCAGAATCTGCTCCTTGGTGACTAACAACACAGCTGAGGAGAAGATGAGAGTGGAAAGGCCTGGGAGTTGTTTACGACCCTATTCTTGTGAGGTGGGGAGGACAGCAGACATCTGGTGGATGTCTGGGAGTGCTGGGCTCACTGGGGAAGCAGACGTCTGGGAAGGCACTGGGGGGCTGACAGGGACTGGAAGCGCTGAGCTGGCCAGAGGGGTGTTGCAATCCTGCCAGGGTCATGATGTCTGTGCCATCCCTTTCACAACCATCCCTCCCAACCCCAGGATCTGACACGTGGTTGGGGGGCGGTGCTGAAGACCCAGCCAGCCTCGCCTCCCCAGCTGCCCGGGATCACTATCGGTCAAAAGCAGCTCATAACAGGGAAGAAGGGGGGCACTAGACTCCAGCCCTGAGGGACGGATGTGGTGGTGGGAGGGAAGAGGTTATGGGGGGGGGTGTTGGTGGCTCAGTGCCAGGATGTCTAGAGCACTAAGAAGGGGCCTCGGAGAGTGAATGGGGCATGGGGGCAGATGGAGTGTTTACAGGGGCCTCATGGCTTGGAGAGTCAGGGAGCCAACAGGATGGAGTGGGGGGCCTGGGGACACATATTGGGAGCCTCACAGCTGAGGTTTTGGGGTTTGGGCAAGCTGAAGAGACAGACCCCCCCCCCAAAATAAAGGGAGATTTGGAGCTGTTAAGACCCCAGATAACCTTGAGGGAGGTCTGGGGTACAGATGTAGGCGGTGGCGAGCTTGAAGGGCTAGTTTGAAAGAGAGTTGGGAGGTGGCATGGAGGCTAGGAGCGTGAAGGGTTGACTGGGTGACCCCCAGAGGCAAAGAGTAAGGGTTGTTTGAGCTGAGAAGACTTGGTAAGACGGGGAATGGAAGAGGAGGCCTGGGGACACTGTGAATTGGGGAATGAGGCCCCCCAGGATTACTGAGACACCCCTGAGGCTGGGAGATAGGTGTAGGGCAGGAGAGAGCCCCCAGAGGGGAGAGGGCCAGGGAGAGAGGGTGACGGCTGTCCCCTCAGCAGGGGTAAGGGGCTCTGGAGTCTGAGGACTCCCCACACACCCAAGTCAGGGAGATTGGGAGGTGAAGGCGCTGAACAGCGAGGGGCTTCCCGGGCCTAAAGGACGTGCGTGGGCCCCACCTGAGCCCCGTTCTCCCCCATTCAGGGGCGGAGAGAAGAAAAGGTGGGTGGGCTCCGGGAGGTGGAAGGAAGAAGCAGCTCGGGGGGAGGGAGATTAACCCGCCCCGCCCCCTCCCCAGCCTGATAAAGGCACCAGGGGCCAGGACTTCCCACCTGCAGTCTTACGTCGGATCGAGGTGGGTGTTGGGTGCCTGGGAGGGACGCCCCATGAGCACAAGAGAGGGCTGGAGGGGCTGCGGGGGAGAGAGGAGGGCTGCCACTGATCGCCTCCACCCTGCCTTCGCCTTCAGAGTCCCCTCCTGGCACGCCATGAGACTCCTCCTGTCGCTCCCGGTCCTGGTGGTGGTTCTGTCGATAGTTTTGGAAGGTAAAAATGGCGTAGGAGGATTTGGGAGTTTGGGATTTGGAAGCGTGAAGCTGACCGCGGGCCTGGGGTTCAAGTTTGGAGAACTTTTGAGAGCTCTTGGAGCCCCTTCTGTGCCGGGTCTCCGTAGCATCGTGGAGCCCCCACTGTGACCCCAACAGGTCTCCAAGTTCTCCTAGAAGCGGTGCCGCGGGCGGCAAATCTGCCTAGGGAAGCCCTAGCGACCGATGACGTATTAACTCTCACCCTCCCCAGGATTGGCTATTCTGCTTCCATAGGCTGGAAAGGGGCGGGGAGGGAGAGTGCGCGAGTAAGGCGATTCCCAGCAGCTTGAGCGCCATGGGTCTCTCCAGTACACACCATTCTAACACCGTCACCTCCAAAAACTCACATTTAAGTATCCCTTTTCCCATCCCCGGAATCCCATCCTAAGGCCTCCCGATACTGAAAAATTTGTACCGCCACCCCTCCATTCTGGTCTTCCCGGCAGGCCCAGCCCCAGCCCAGGCGGCCCCTGACTTCTCTTCCACCTTGGAGCGCATCCCGGACAAGCTGAAGGAGTTTGGAAATACCCTGAAAGACAAGGCCAAGGCAGCCTTTGACAGAATCAAACAGAGTGACATTTATGCCAAGACCGGGTTAGGCGCCTTCCCCGGCTTGGGAGGGCTGAGGTGTATCTGGGTGGAGCTGGGGGGGAGTCCAAGGCCCTTCCTCCTTTTACAGATTGGGGAAGCAGAGCTCCCAGAGAGGCTGATAACATGCCTGTTGTCACACAGCCAGATCTCAGGGTACTCATACTTGGGGGATGTGTCCTCTGACTCCCTTCCTAGACACCTTTCAGAGATAGCCCTGGTGGGTGGCGAAGGGCCCAAGGAATTAGACAGACCTGGGTCCACAGGCTGATGGAGACCCCTGCTCCTTGTATGATCTTGGGACAGAGGCTGCCCATGAGACTCAAGTTTCCTCATCTGTAAAATGGGTGGGTTCTGAGGTACCCTGAACTGGAGGACTTGTATAGTGTCTGGCACGTTGTGAATGCTCCATATGTTCCTTAACCAACATTTGCTCTGTTTGGTGCTATGGAATTAAAGAATCATTCATTCATGAACAAATATTTATTGAGCATCTGCTAAATGCCAGGAACTATTCCAAGGAGGGGAATGGATGAGATAAAGCTCCAGAGAAAGGTAGGGTGAACAGACAATAGACTAGGGAACTGTCAAGAGATAAATCCAAATAGAGCTAAGCACCTATGAGGCAATAGATGGGACAGCCAAGGATTGGGGAGGGGCTTCTTTAAACTTGGTGGTGGGTCTTCCTGGGAGAGAACTCTTTGAGTGAGGTCTGAATGATTAGGGAAATCCAGCCAGGCAGAACTTAGAGAAGAATGTTCCCAGTGGAAGGGTGAGTGCAAAGGCCCTGAGGCAGGAGGATCTGTAAATAATCCAGCTGAAGCAAGCCAGGGATATCTGGAGAGCATGGCAATCCAGGCAGGAGGAACAGCCTGGGCAAAGGCACCTGGATGCTGGAAGGTCCCTTTGTGTGAATAGGGCACAGCTGGGGCAGGAGCAGTCTTGGAGAAAGGGTTGGTAGCAAGAGAAAGCAGGCCTTGAAAGCCAGGCCAGGGAGAGGTGTTCTGACTCCAAGGAGCTCTGGTCCATCTGGGAAACTCAGGCACAGAAGTTGGGCCAGCAGCCCAGGACTTCTCCTAATCCCACAGACAGTGGGGAGCCCTGCTATTTTCTTGGCAGAAGGAAGGCATGGAGATCAGGAAAGGAAAGATCAGGGAGTCAGGCAGGAGGTAGGATTGGTCATCCTAGGAGGAAGAGGCAAAAATGATCCTCCCCCCCCAATAGGAGCTGGTTCAACAAAATGAAGGAGAAACTCAAAACTGCCTTCTAAACACCAGGAGGGCTGTCTGCCTCTCTTCTGTGGCCAGTCCCCGCTCCACGCTGAAATGTCAGAGCCCCTAGGCTGAGGACTGCCACCATGATGCCCCTTATCCCCCTACACCAATAAAGGTCCTATAACGAATCCTTTCTTGAGTACTGCTTCACTGTGGGGCAGGGCCTTGGAAGAGGGTGGGGGCAGCGCCTCTGGGGACAAGATGCAAGGTCTGAAATGTATTGAGCATTTTTTGACTTCCCCTGTGCTAGGGATTTTTAACTTCGTGATCTTAAAAAGAATCCTCCAGAGAACCGTGTGAGTTGGGCCCTATCATCCCCATTGGCCATTAAAGCCCAGAGAGGTCACACAGCCAGGAAGTGGAGGACTGGATTAAAACCTTAGCCTGGCACTACTGCTCTGCTACATTCTCCCCTGTATTGGGCTTCCCAAGATAAGAGATTTTTTTTCCTTCTGCCAGTTGCCGTTGTTGACTCCAACTCATGGCGATTCCAAGTGTGTCAAAATAGAACTATGTTCCATAGGGTTTTCAATGGCTGATTTTTCAGAAGTAGATTGCCAGGCCTTTCTTCCAAGGTGCCTCTGGGTGGACTCAACCACCAATCTTTTCAGTTAGCAGCCAAGTGTGTTAACCATTTCCATTACCCCACTGACGTTGCCATCAAGTTGATTCTGACTCAGTGACCTTATAGGACAGAGTCGAACTGCCCCATAGGGTTTCCAAGGAGCACCTGGTTGATTTGAACTGCCAACCTTTTGGTTAGCAGCCGAACTCAACCACTACGCCACCAGGGTTTTCTCCCATTACCCAGGGACTTCAAAAAGCCACTTGCAGTCCAGTTGATTCCAACTCACGGGGAACCCATGTCACCCAAAGACTCCCAAAGTGAGAGATTAGGTTCTCTTATCACTGTGCGCATAGTAGGTGTTCATTAAACTTTAAATAGATAAGGGAGGGTATTAGGAAGAGGGGGAGGTGGAACATGGGGCTAGAGCCTTGAAGGAGATGGACACAATCTTCGCCCTCTGTGTCTCAGCTCCAGTGTCACCTCCTCCAGGCAGCCCTCCCTGACCCTCAGTCTGGATCAGGTGCCTCTCTCCTAGCTCTTTCCACTCTGGGTCGTCACTGTCTGGGGATGGATGAGTCTGTCTCTCCCACTGAACTGTCAGCCCTGGAAGGTGCTGTGGTCACTGCTGTGTCCCCAGGCCCAGCCCAGCATAGAACAGGGCATGGTGCAGGGGCTCAATAATATCTGGTGAAATGAGTAATTATGCTAGATCTGAAAAAGCTAAACACATTGAATTTTCACAAAACGCCTGAGACGGATGTTGTGGTCTTGGGCTGTGGGGTCGATTCTGACTCATGGCGATCCCATATGTTACAGAGTAGAACTGCTCCATGGGGTTTTCTTGATTGTGATCTTCACTTTTACTCCGTCACATAGGGTCACTGTGAGTCTAAATCGATTCGACAGCACCTAACAACAACAACAATCTTTATGGAAGCAGATCACCAGATCTTTTCTTCCCTGGTGCCACTGAGTGGGTTTGAACTGCCAACCTTTTAGTTACCAGTCGAGCACAAATCGTTTGCGCCACCCAGAGACCTTTTGTTGTGTTGTTAGGTGCCCTAGAGTCGATTCTAACTCATAGCGACCCTGTGTACAACAATAAAACACGGCCCGCGTCCGCGCTGTCCTCACAGTTGTTTTTATATTGGAGCCCATTGTTGCAGCCACTGTGTCAACCCATCTCATTGCGGGTCTTCCTCTTTTTTGCTCACCCTCTACTTTACCAGGTTGATAAAATGTCCAAAGTAAGTGAGATGAAGTCTCCCCCTCCTTGCTTCTAAGGAGCACTCTGGCTGTACTTCTTCCAGGACAGATTTGTTTGTTCTTCTGTCTGTCCATTCAATGTATCAGTTCTTCAGTCTTCCTTATTCATTTCCCAGCTTTTGCATGCATATGAGGTGACTGAAAATACAATGACTTGAGTCAGGCGTACCTTTGACCTTTTACTGCCCCTGTCTTACAGATAGCAGCCCTGGTGGTGTGGTGGTCAAGTGCTCTAAGTGCTCGGCTGCCAACCAAAAGATTGGTGGTTTGAACCAACCAGCCGCTCCATGGGATAAAGATGTGACAGTCTGCTCCCGTAAAGATCACTGCCTTGGAAACCCTATGGGGCAGTTCTACGCTGTCCTGTAGGGTCACCATGAGTGGAAATGACTTGACGGTCATGGGCTTTAAGCATTTTCAGGAGGTCAATGGTGGTTCAGTGGTGGAATTCTCACTTCCCGTGCATGAAATCCAGGTTCAATTCCCAGCCCACGCACCTCATGCACAGCCACCGCCCATCTGTCAGCGGAGGCTTGTGTGTTGCTATGATGCTGAGCAGGTTTCAGCAGAGCTTCCAGTCTAAGCAGAAAGGCCTTGTGATTTACTTCCAAAAACATCAATCGATGAAAACTCTATGGATCCCAACGGTCTGATCCACACCCAATCATAGGGATGACGCAGGACCAGGCAACACTTTGTTCCGCTGTGCACAGGGTTGCCATCAGTCTGGGGCTGACTAGACAACCGCTAGCAACAACAAGCGTTTTCGTAAGTCCCGGAAAAGCTCTGAGGTTGGAGGCCCAGTCGGCGCAGGGACGCAAGATGGACAAGCAGCTCATGAAGTGAGTGTGCACGCTGGGATTTGAAGAGAGGCTCAAACTCTCAAACAATCAAGAGACACCACTCAGCATCCAGCCATCTGGCAGAAAGCAGAAGGATGAACAATGCCAGGTGTTGGCGGGGCGGTGGCCACCTGGGAAGCCACAGCTATACCACGTGAGAGTGTGCACTGCAGTCCCTATTATGGAGAGTAACCCGGCAGTTTCTAGTGATATTAGGTGTCTGTGTGCCCTGTGTCCCGGCAATCCCCCTTCTGGCTTCTGGCACGGTGCAGGGGCCAGAAGAAACATACAGGAGAATGGACCAGGGTGTTCACTGCGGTGTTATATGTAGGGTAAAGTACCAGGATGTTTATTGTGGCGTTACTTATGAAGGTGGAAGCTGGAAGCAGCCTAGGGGTCCATCATGAAAAAAATATGTGGAACACTATGTAACAATAATATGTAGCGTAATAGCAAAGGGGCCCTGGTGGTGCAGTGGTTAAGAGCTACAGCTGCTTAGCAGGAAAGCCACAGATATTTGCAACATTGAAAATATCTATCTTATATTAAAAACCAGTAATGATTAATATTTAACATATTTAAAGGATTCCTTTGCATCAGTGCAAAAACTGATGGTGGGGGTAGAGATGCATTACCCAGATCTCCTCAAGAGAACCTGTGGAAGAAGGGTGGTTGGCAGCTGCCACAACTTTTGATCCACTGCAGTGTTCATACAAAGGCCATGTTCCGCAGGTCAGCTACCATACAGTGACTGAGGATGGCAGGGTATTAGGGCCTGCCCATTCCGGCCCAACACAGAACTCCTCTGACAGGTATTCTTCATTCTGGGACTCTCTACTGGCCTGGCTGAGACTTTCTCACGGGGCATTGGAGTGAGAGACTCCTACCCAGTCCCTCTCTCATCCCTCTCTCCTTTCACAGGTATCAAATCAGTATTAACTGCAGTAATATTATTCAGCCACAAAAAGGAATGAAGCGCTGATACGTGCTACAACTTGGATGAACCTTGAAAATATTCTACTAGGTGAAGGAAGTCAGAGGCAAAAGGCCACATATTCCATATCCACATATCTCATATTCCATTTATATGAAATGTCCACAATAGGCAAATCCATAGCAGATTAGCAGTTGCTGGTATCATCGGCTGGGCAGGGGAAGGGGGCGGGGAGAAGGGAAGGAATGGCAAGTGACTGCTAATAGGTACACTGTTTCTTGTTGGGGAGATGAAAATGTTCTAGAATTAGGCAGTGGTGATGGTTGCACAACTTTTTGAGTATACTAAAAACCACTGAACTGTATACTTTTAGAGTGAATTTTTTTTTCTGTATCTGAATTATACCTTAATAAAAAAGTATTCACTCCAAAAAAAAAAAATAGAGCTACAGCTGGTAACCAAAACGTTGGCAGTTCAAATCCACCAGCCCCTCCTTGGAAACCCTATGGTGCAGTTCTACTCCGCCCTATAGGGTTGCTGTGAGTCGGAAACCACTCGTCGGCAATGGGTTTGTTTTATGGGTTTATGTAGCAATAGAAAGAATGAGCTAGATGCTCATACACCTTAAAACCCCAAAAGGCAAACCAGTTGCCATGAAGTCATTTCCAACTCACGGCAACCCCACGTGTGTCGGAGCAGAACTGTGTTCTGTAGGGTTTTCAATGGCTGACTTTTTAGAAGTAGATCGCCAGGCCTTTCTTCTGAGGTGCCCCTGGGTGGATTCGAACCTCCCCCTTTTGGTTAACAGCCAAGCTCGTTAAAGGTTTGCATGACCGAGGGATGCCTACAGCATCCTGGAGCACTCTAACAGTGGAACAGTCAGTGAAAAGGTAAGAAACAGGAGATCCACAGCATAGTGTCATTGACATAAAATTAACACACACGTGAAACAATGCTGCATATTCTTTCAGGCATGAAGGCTTACTCCAAACGCATCTGAGGATGAGGGATGCTTAAGGAGGGGAAGTGAATGGGAGCGAGGATGGAGAACAAAGATGGAAAAGGAATAAATACAACTCTCTAGACTCAATGCCCTCTGTTTGCCGCTGTTAGGCGCTGTTGAGTCAGCCCCTAACTTATGCACAATGGAACAAAACACTGTCCGATCCTGAGCCATCCCCATGATTGATTGCGGCTGGACCCTTGTGATCTGTAGGGTTTTCCTTGGTTGATTTTTTGTGAAGTAAATCGCCAGGCCTTTCTTCCTAGTCTGGAAGCTCCACTGAAACCTGTTCAGCATTATAGCAACACACAAGCCTCTACTGACAGATGAGTGGTGGCTGTGCTTGAGGTGCACGGGCTGGGAATGGAACCTGGGTCCTCCAC